CTGGAACAGGTAATGCAATGTCTGCAGAACATTATTTGTTTATTTTGTCACACCCAAAAACAACTACTGTGCATGAAATGTTGTCTTTTTTAGAACTTTGTGGCTATTGTAGGAATATGGAATATGTAAAACAAACATCTCAGCTTGTATGCTTTAGTGAAAGAAAAGGCATGAAAAATTTAAATGCTATATTTGATTGGACTACGAAGACTGAGGACATTATGTAGCTATTGATGATACTACTGCTAATGGGGTGCTTTATCTAAAATGTAAGGGTTCAAGGACAGTTCTAATATACACTAATGTCACTTTGGATAGCATTGAAAGCAAACAGCTACTTCGTGTATGTTATGCAGCAGGATTGGCTACGACAGGGGTGTCAAAGACAAATGGACAGGGGGCCAAACGAAAAAATTTGCTACAAGCCAAGGGCTGGACTGATCGAATATTCATTGAAAAAATTTTAAATGGCTGCACATAGTCTAGTGAACCTAATTGAACCTACTGAAAACCTAACAAATATATTACTATATGATCAGATCGAATAAATAAAGCAATATTTTCTTATGGCTCTGTCAGTAATTTTTAATTTTCAACAGAAACAAAAGACAAACTTCCTTTATATAAAAATCCCCAGACCATGCACATTAAATGAATGAAGTGGTATTATTCAAGGCACCATCAGTATATTTTCTCAAGGAAATGGCAAAAGTAGGCTAAATTTACTTCAAAGAAATAAATAATATCAGCAATTTTCTATCAGTCACTCAACTGAAATATTTTTTAAAAATAAGTGGATTGAAAACAATAAAATAAAGTGCAAAAATCTATGGATAAGAGAAAAACAACACTTTCTTCAAAGAAAAGTCATATGTGCTGTGAAAACAAATATTTAACTTTTTAACTTTAACTGAGTAAAAACTCTAAATTTGTTATTGCACAGTAATGTTTACATGTTTGAGGCTGAGGCTGAGGCTGATACTTGGTGGTGTCTCATCTTTTGTACAAGTTCATCAATGTTCGGGGTCAGGCTCTGAGCTGAGGAAATCCTCAGGATTGAGTGAAGGTGTTCAGCAGTAAGTCGACTTCTGTGTGATGTTTTGTTAAGCTTCATCAAAGAAAACAGTTGTTCACACAGGTATGTGCTGCCAAACATAGAGAGCGTTTGAGCAGCTTGGATGCGCAGCTTGGGCATTGTGTCGGGGAGGAAACGGGCAAACTCCGCAGCTCCCACTGCCGCATATTTTGCCTTCAGTGCGTCACTGCATTGGAGCTCCATCAACTCCATTTGGAGGTTTGGTGGGGAGCTTTCCACGTCAACTGCAAATGGATTACTGAGCAGTTCAAATCTGCTTTTTTGTGCTTCAAAGTCAGCAAATCGGCATCGGAAGTCAGCGGCAAGTACACTAATTTTATCAGCAAACTGTGCGCTCGGGAATACACTGGTAGAGAGTTTTGCTTTCATGGTCTGGCAGCTAGGAAAGTGGCTCAAGTTTTCTTTCCGCATCTGTGCCTCCCACAGAGTCAGTTTGGTTTTAAAAGCCTTCACTGTACTGTACATATCAGAGATGACGCGACCCCGACGCTGCAGCTGTTGGTTCATTGCATTCAGATGACTCGTGATGTCACACAGAAAAGCCATTTCACACAGAAACGTTTCGTCTCGGAGTTGTGTTGTGTCTTTCCCTTTGCTTTCCAAGAACAGACAAATCTCCTCACGCAGCTCGAAACATCTTTGCAGCACCTTTCCCTGGCTTAGCCATCGCACCTCAGTGTGATAGGGCAAATCACCATGCTCCGTTTCTAACTCGCTCAGAAATGCTTTCAACTGGCTGTGATTTAAACCTTTGGCTCTGATAAAGTTAACTGCGTGCGTGATGGTGCTCATTACATGTTCCATTTTCAAGGCTTTAGCACACAACGACTCCTGGTGTATGATACAATGATAAGCAGTCAGCTCACCTGTGACGTTTTCCACCTGCATCTTCTCCCGTGTCCTCTCCACCAGTCCACTCCTGTGTCCACACATCGCAGGTGCTCCGTCTGTTGTCAAACCCATGAGTTTTTCCCAAGGCAGCTCCTTCTCATTTACACATCTTGACACCTCCTCATACAGATCATGTCCTGTAGTTGTGCCATACATAGGATGTAATGCCAAAAACTCCTCTGTCACGCTCAGGCTGGAGTCCACTCCGTGGATGAAAATTGACAACTGGGCAATGTCAGAAGTGTCGGTGCTCTCATCCACAGCCAGGGAGTATGTGATGAAATCTTTTCCCTTTTTTACAAGCTGCTCTTTTAGATTGATAGATAGCTGGTCTACACGCTCAGAAACGGTGTTTCTACTCAGGCTCACGTTTAAAAAGAGTTGCCTTTTGTCTGGGCAAACTGCGTTACAAACTTTAAGCATACAGTTTTTGATAAAATCCCCCTCTGTAAATGGCCGGGCTGATTTTGCGATCTCTTCTGCCACAATAAAACTGGCCTTGACAGCAGCCTCACTTTGTGATTTCGCTTTTCTGAACAGAGCCTGCCGAGATTTAAGACCTTGTTTTAATTCTTCCACCTTCTGTAGCCTTTGTTTCATGTCCATATTCTTGTCTTTGTCCACGTGTTTAGTTTCATGATGCCGTCTAAGATTATACTCTTTCATTACTGCCACACTTTCTCCACACAGAAGACACACAGGTTTTCCAGCAACCTCCGTGAACATGTATTCCGACTCCCACCTTGTGTGAAACCCCCTGTTCTCAGTGTCCACCTTCCGTTTTGCCATTTTTGATGGGTATCTGAAAGTTGACTTTTGCTGTTATGCTAATGACCGCTGATGAATAATGAAATGAAGCCGCCTCCCGCTCGGTGTAGTATTGGTGTGTGTAAAACACCTGCGCGCTGCTGGCCTGCTGCGGCTAGCGGGCCGGTTCTAATAATAAATCAATATCATCCCGGGGGCCATAGAAAACCCTCTCGGGGGCCAGATCTGGCCCGCGGGCCTTGACTCTGACATATGGGGGCTACGACTATAAAGAAGACTGCTCATATAGTTATGGGCCACCCATTGAATATTTTGACCAACCACACAGTAACTGCTTTTGTGGCTTCTTCATCTTTTACTCTCTCTTCACTCAAGCAGACAAGACTGCTGAATGTGCTCATTCAACCACATCTGGTGCTGCAGTAGCTCAGTTGGTAGAGCATTCGCCCACTGATCTGAAGGTCAGCAGTTCAAATCCCTCTCTCAACATAAACATCATAGATTGAGCGACCCACAGGTTGGCTGGTGTGATTCCAGAGCTCCCACAGATGAATGCTGTTGTTGTGTCCTTGGGCAAGACACTTAACCCACCTTGCCCACAGTGTCTGCGTACACTGGAGTGTGAATGGGTGAGTGGTTCCTTGTTGTAAAGTGCTTTGAGTGCCTTGAAGGTGGAAAGGCGCTATAGAAAAATGTGACCATCTGACCTACCTGACTGGCACTAATATGGCAGCTAATATTAATAGCTCTGGGGAATCTCATATGTGTGGAATGCATGTTTACAATTTAACCAAAGTCCACCAGGATTTCTCTTCAGTGCCTCTTGACATGGATGTGTGCTGTTCATGGATTGATGCTGCTCAGGTAGCCTTTGTCGTCAGGGACAACACCTCACCCACAGACTTCTTGCTTGCTATCACGTTGGACGTGTTATTAGATGCTCAGGGAGGTTCTCTGCAGGTAATGTTTTTGTGGCGTGATAAGGGAGTTGTCAGGGACAGCTGTGGCCTATGGAGAGGCCCCAGGGGCCAAACAGTGTTGCCCATGGGCCCCCTCTCTAAGGCTGCTCTGGAGGAGGCTCATGGCCCCTCCCCTGTAGGAATTCAGACTATGATGAGAAATTTTCATATGTGGTGGCACTAATTCATGTCTGACTTGGTCAGGGACCATTGTTACAATGGTAACACCTGTTAATGTTTTATTGTTAAGCCCACCCTCAAGCCAGCACCTGGTATGTTCCATCTAGCCCTTGGGCCAGGCACAGAAGTGACCACTGACTTCACAAACATGTTACATCGTGTCCAAGGTAAGAGATATCTCTTACTTCTCGTAGACTCCTTCACAGGTTGGTCTGAAGCCTATTCTGTGAGCCATGAGGATGCTTTTTCTGTGATTAAGGTAATGATTAATCATTATATTCCTACTCATGGTTTCCCAGCTCTGATTAGGTCTGATAATGGTACACATTTCAGTAATCATGCTCTACAAAAGGTTGAAAATGTTAGGCCCCCTCAAAGCCAAGGATGGTTGAACGTATGAACTGCACTCTAAAAGTTAAATTGGCTAAGATTTGTTCTACTTCAGGGCTTATTTGGCTTCAAGCCCTACCCCTGGCTCTCCTGGCCAGTGAGACAGATTATTAATAAAGTCACTGTTTTGTTTTCTTATGAGTTGCTCACTGGACGATTGATGCCAGGTCCAGGGGCCACATTGGTACCGCAGGAAGAGGTGCCACTGCTAAATTTCTAGTTTAAGCCATATTGGGATCAACTGAGGCAACTGGTGTCTAATTTTCTTCCCAGTTTCCAGAGAGGAAGTTGCTATATCTCCACCCTCTGAAGTCTATTTGCAGGTTCTGTCCCGGACGTGCTCTGAACTATGTTGGATTGGGTCGTACAGTGTGACTGCTTGTACTAATAAGACTGTTCAGTTGGACGGGAAAGAACATAAATGGTTTCGTCTCACACAGACCAGAGTTGTGAATTTCTGATTTTTTTGTATTTGTTTGCTTGTGTTTTCTTTTTCTTTTTTTTTTGTTCAAGGTTTATTTATTTCACAAAAATATTCTGTAACAATGTTACACAACAAATTTTCATTTTTAAGTTTTTCTCCCTAGAACCCCACCCTCAACTTATAAACATGAGAACATAAGCCAGACAGGTACAAGAAGTAAATACTGATGATATAAATTGATAAAAAATGACAAAAGAAAATAGACATCATAAAAAGAAATAAATACAAATAAATGATATAAATAAAATAAATTGTAATAATAATAATAACAATATTAATGAATAAAGAAATAACAATAATAATTTAAATAATTAAAATACTACATATAGAAAAAAACTATAAAAACCTACATTTATACAATTTCCCTTGCTTCCATGGTTTGGAAATAAGACAAAAATGGATTCCAAATTGTATAAAATTTTTAAACTGAGCCTTTGGTTGTATATCTGATTTTCTCCAATTGAGTGTAGTACATGGCATCCCTGACCCAGAGCCCATATGCAGGCGGTTGTGGCTCCTTCCAGTTCAGTAAAATCCTCCTACGAGCTAACAATGTGCAGAAAGCCACCAGACTAGCCTGTCCCTCTGTCACATGTAAACCAGCAGTCACACCGAAAATTGCAACGAATGGGCAGGGAGCCAGCACTTTACCACATATTTTAGAGAGAGCATCAAATACACATTTCCAGAAATTACTCAATTTTGGAAAAGTCCAAAACATATGCAATAAAGAGGCAGGCTCCTGCTTGCATCGATCACAAGTAGGGTCAAACCCGTTTTTGATCTTACTTAGTTTGGTTTTTGACCAGTGGAGGCGATGTACCACTTTAAGTTGAATCACCACATGTCTAAGGCAAATTAATGAAGAAAAAATTCTCTGAATAATGTTTTCCCAGGTCTCCTCTGAAATTTGTTTACTCAAATCCTCCTCCCATTTACACTTAAGTGACTCCAGCGTAGCCATCTTATACTTATTCAACAACTCATAGGTCACACTTATGACATGTTTGGTATCTGGTTTCAACTTAAAGATGTCATCTAAAAGGGAAGGAGAAGGACAGGATGGGAAGGAGTCAGTATTAAGTCTAATGAAATTCCTAAGCTGCAGGTATCTGTAGAAATGTGACTTAGGTAGGCCAAATTTTGATACCAATTGATCAAAAGAGCTGAAGACATGGTCACTGTAGAGTTTATAGAGTGAAGTTATCCCACAGTTCATCCAAATGTTGAATGCCTCATCTGATAACGACGCTAGGAACATGCAATGTCTCTGAGGAGGAGCAACCAGGGAGAGTTCAGACAGTTTGAAGTGTCTCCTGAGCTGGTACCACAATTTGAGTGAATGAATAACAAGTGGATTGGTGGTAAAGTTGGAAATGGGTCCTAATAGTGGTAACTTGGCACAGAGCAAGGACCATAATGTAGCACATTCAACAGACATTCCCTCTATTATTGCCCATGATGGTGAATCGACATGACCCCGTGTCCAGTATAACATCGCCCTGATATTAGATGCCCAGAAATAAAACAAAAAGTTTGGGAGTGCCAAGCCTCCCACACTCCGGGGTTTTTGTAGTATACTTTGTTTCAGTCTTGGTGGTTTTTTGTTCCAAATGAAAGAGGATATTTGGCTGTTCAAATTGGTGAAAAAGGTGGTGGGATGTTGCATGAAGAGTCAGGATGTTAGTTGGTTAGTGTGTGGGTTGTGTGTGTTTGTATGTGTAACCTGGTTACTATAGTTTTCTCTGACCCTGACCCCTATTCACCTGGAGTTTTAATATTATTCACTTTTAATGTAATTCATTTCATATAGTACAGCAGTACATAAGTCAACTCTTTTAAAATATTGTTTCTATGAAAAAAAAATCCTGCTAAATCCCATAAGTAATGGTAATGCCTGACAGTTCTGCTTTCTGCCGATTTGAGGTACAGTGAAGAACTTTGGTCATAGCAGCCGTTTCCCTCTAGATCATTTTGGGCTTAAATTGAAGCTTATGAACATGGGAAGTTTTTAATTTACATTTGAAGTAATGATATAAATAAAATAAAATAATAAAATGATTTAAAATGATCACTTTTGCTAACAATTTGTCAGGCAAACAAAAATTTTTTTGTCTTTTGGGGGATGTTGGGTGATATTTGACAGTAGAAAGGCAGCAAGCCCCAGAATATTTTCCTGCTAGTTTCCCCCATGTGTCAGGATACACCATGTAAAATTTTAGGGTTATTTGACCATGTATGCAGTTACAGTACCTTAATATTTACAGTTACATCATTTCGCAAATAGCTTTTCTTAAAAACTGTGTTTTTTGGGCCCTGAGACCAAACGGGGCCGAGTTGAGGTTTGTCCCTATCAACTCGTGATGGCCCAAGATATAAGTTCACAGGAAATAATAGTGGAAAAAAAGGTAGCAAAAAACATCCGGAGGGGTGAACCTGGCTCCCGGCCTATTATATCTTTGGGTTAAGGGAAACACAGGCGTTCAGATCGCCTGATGTAAGTCCTGTGTAGATGTAGGTCGTCAGGGGCAGCGATCTGACCCAGAGCTCTGTATTAGAATTGTATTGAATAGGGAATAAATTCTTTGTGATTTTAATTAGAGCCCGACCGATATGGATTTTGCTGTGGCCGATATGAAACCGATATAATGGGAGTTGGCGCTGCCGATAGCCGATATAATGGCCGATATATTTAGTGATGTAAAAATTCACTGTAAATGTTGAATTGTTTAAAAAACTTAGGTTTGGCTCTGGTGGATTTTAAATTGGGTTTATTTAGGCAACATTTATTGTTATTCTGCCTCTTTACATCATATTTACAGACAGTAGGTTGGCTTAATGGCATTTTTGCATCACATTCTAGACACTAGTGATGGGTATTCCAGTTCTTTTTAGAGAACCGGCTCTTTTGGCTCGGCTCACTAAAAGCTGCTGGTTCTTTTGGCTCCCAAGTGGCTCTTCAGATTGTTTTGTTGCAAGCAGGACTAAAGCACGTCTAAAGCAGGACTGAATCAGGACTGAACCAGGTCTAAACCAGGACTGAAAAAGGACTAAACCGGGACTTATTTATTTTATGCTAAACTACAGTCAAATATGCTAGTTTTTTTTTGTTTTTGTTTTTTTTATCCTACGTACACGCAAATTTCTCAAAGTTTCGTTTTTAGCCGCTGTCATACCACGAATCTGCACGCGGCATGAAGAGAAAAAAAGTGAGAGAAAGAGAAAACACGGCTCCCAATAAGGATCAGGTTCCGGTCGTTCCCTTCAAAGAGTCTAAGAGTTCTAGGAGTCATTTCGTTCGCGACAGACCCATAACTAGTAAAGAAACTAGCGCTATTAGCCTTTATATATATATATATATATAAATATGCTTACTTGCTTACTTTGCCCTGGAGGAGCAGCTCAAAATCCAGCCAGTTTTTCAGATACATATGGCCCTCATAGTTAGTGGTCCAAGTGATGTTCCACAGGTTTGCTGTCTGTGTCACTACTGGGGCATAAGGGGCACGAGTTTGTACTGCAGACAAAAACAACAAATACAATTATCTGCTTGTGTGTTGTAAACTAGGGATGCACCTAAGGCTTTAAGTACCTACCAATACCCAATTTAACCCTGGGATGCATGGCCTACCAATACCTACCAGAATCAATGTGTTTTTGCAGGAAACAAATTTTGGTTTGATCATTTTTGACATGTTAATTTATCACTTTTTATTCACATTTTATCACAAAACAGTCAAACAATAAATCAGGTATCAAAAAAATGTCAAAATCCATTGCATGTCCATCTAATAATAATGATAATGCATCACATTAGCTGGTGAGCTACTACTGTAGCCACAGCTGCTCTGGGGCAGACTGGCAGAAGCGAGGCTGCCAATCTGCGCCATTGGTCCCTCTGACCAAAACTATCTCACACACACACACAACACTTTCCTACTAGGCAATGTGGGTGGGTAAACCAACAAATGTTTCAGTATCGATAATGATATTTGATGCCAGTATTGGATTGGTGCATCCCTATGATGCAAACACAGCATTTGACCATCCAGATAATACAACATTGTCCCCCCTCCCATGCTCTGCAACTATACAAGATTAGAGTAGGTGCCAGGCGCTTCACTAGCCCAAGAAGGGGTATTTACTTTATATGTCATCCACATACTAGTATATGTTTGAGTAATGTAGAAATTTCTCCCAGGCCCTCTTCAAACCCTTCTTATGGTTATCAGTACATAGTAATAATGCTGCAATAAATAGTAACATCCTACTTTTAGGTGATTTTGAACTTGATCAGAGTAACTGTTTTGACAAATTATATATCAGTGCCAGTGGTGGACCGTGCATTTCACACCTAGGCCTTCAGTAGTGTTTCATCTGAAACAATCCACTCCTCAATAACTATTTTATGGTTATAAAAGCCATCTTAATATACAGAAACACAGTATAAAGAGCTGTGGAGATTTCATACACAGAGAAGTGAGGAGAGGGGGATGCACGGTGCATGGAGAAGAAGTGAGGAGCGCTGGAGTGCTAAACCAGGACTAAACCAGAACTAAACCAGGACTGTTTGTCGGAATGGGCCTGAAGGTGTGCCCGCGTAGACTGTCGGGTGACTGCAAGTGAAAGGACCAGGCCGGGGCTCCGCATGGGGCTCTGTGCAGCTGTCGCCCGATCCGCTTTGTGGACACCTTGGTCTGCGAGCTCTGCGTTCGCTCTCTCGCTCTCTCAGTTCTGATTTAGAGCTGGTTTAGTCCTGTTTCTGCTACAGATGCAGTTTGCTGCTTTGGCTGGTCCGCTATCTGACTGTCCAGTCAATGGCTCTGAATCTGGTGACATTGCCGTACTCTGCTAGAAGGCCATGGCGATACCAACTCAATATCTGATTGGTTGAAGCAACAGTTTCATGGACATTTATTTTGTGTTCGAGGGCCTGCATAATGGATTGTGAAGGCCTCAGACTTCTTTGAATTTGACTCTGCCTGGCAACAAGTGATGGCTGAAATGTGACTGGTCAAATGTTTTAATATGAAAATGCTTGTCTGGAAGCAGCACAACCATTGGAAAAGCTCTGAAACGAACTGGACAGGCCATTTGGAATTATTTAATAATAATAATATAATTAACATAAGTCTGTGATTCAGATATTTTTTTAGGCCAGCAGAGAAGGCCTTGCAGACCCCGACGGCCCACCACTGATCAGTGCAATTAACTAATAGAACCCATGTGTTTTACTTACTGCATTTTGCAGGCTCAAAATTGGGCTGCACTGGGACTTTGGACAAATTGTGCTGGAGATCGATGGTGAAATTAGCATCAGCGGACATGCAGTCTCTGGGGATTTTCCGAGCACATCTGTATTCACCGTAGGTCTGCACCAACTCACACGTGAACTCACTCTTTCTCTCTGAACAGTTACTGAAATAAAAAGACCCTTTATAAGTGCCACGATATATAAGGTGAGGTACATTTTACACTGTTGTCAATTTTATCCTTCAGTGGCTGGAGCAAGAGACAAGAGAGAGCAGAAGGCGCCCGACAACCCATCTCCAGATATTGGGCTAGACTTGGTCAGGACTTCCTTAGTTGGAGGATTTTATAATGTCCCTCAAACGAGAAGGCATTTTTAAAGTGAAGGATAAGCAATGCAACCTTTTGCACCTCTGTATATGCAGACCTGCATTAAAGAGGCATTTAGAAGGCCTTACCCACTGAAGATCAGAGTGTAGGGGCTGGAATCTCTTGTACCAGTGATCTTCAGCACACAGGAAAGCGAGTCCCAGTAATCAGTCACACAGTTGCACTTAGCATCTGAAAAGACACATTTTAAGTGGACTGCGGTGCTGGAACATGGGCCTCATTCATGAAGCAATCCTATAAAATTTGTACTTAAGGTCTTCTCATGAACATTTTTTTGGCATTCACAATATGTTTTCTTAACTGAAAATGTTCTTCTGGAAGAACAAATCAACAGTGAGGAGCACTCATTATATAATAATTCCTCCATGATGGTATGTAATATATTTTCTTAAATTATTTCCTATAAAAAGTATTACTATGTGATCCAATAACATTTATGAGGAGTTCTATACAACATGAAGTCTATAGGGTCAGACAGTCTGTGGTGAGCCTCAGTCTGTCCCAGCCTCAATGTTCTCCATATTGACCTCTGCTACAGCTCTGTGTCTGGTCACCAGGCTGGACTCAACACCCCTATCATCCCCCTGACCCTCCATGACCAGAGTGTACTATATGTACCCCAACCCTTCCCTCTTTATTTATTCCAGGTCTGCAACTCACGGAAAGCGTGATAAAAATGATGAAAGCAGCTGCTTTTTTCAATAAGTTTATCACTGAATATTCTCTTACTGTGTGCTCATGTCAACTTAGACATTTTAAAACGCAGCTAAAGCTGCAAAACAGCAGTAGCCTGTAGACATGTGCCACCTGTCTTACTTGGTCACTCTCTCCCTCGTGCTTTCACATGTCATAATGGGTTCAGAGGGCATTTCCTACTAAATACATATACATTTTTATGTAAAAGAAATGTAAATGAGTGCTGCGGTGTTCATAGCTGGATGTTGGTGAAGTAGTGCAACTGTCATTCAAGAAAGAATGTAGATGCTTAAGAAGGCTTTGTGAATCTGGCTCAGAGTTCTCTCAGCATCTTCTTATAAAGTGGAAGTTACTAAAAATTTTTCAGAAAAGATTCATGAATGAGGCTCTTTGTTCTTCATTTAAACTAGCCACTGAGCCAGTTGCTTAAATGCACACACATCTCAACAACTTCATAGAGAAGTGTCAATGCAAGACTTGTTCACAAACTCGAGAGAAGCCATCTTGAGGTGCTCTTGCTGTGCATTTTAAATCCGACCCAAGCAGTGGTCGGCTCAATCACAGGGCCTCTATGCACAGGTCTAGGGGTTTCAGAAAACATTATTGCAACCCTAAGCGGCAGGCTTTCAAGGGGCAAAACAAACATGGCGGCGCTGGTGAACTGTGATGTCCTTAATACTCAAATTTGTATTACAAAAATGGCTAAATTAGTTTATGGACATCTTCCCTCTCCAGCATGACTTGTTTTGGTTTTACTTGGCACAAGTTGGATACATCATTTTGACAGGTTTGCTGTGATTGGCTAAAAAGACACACACTGATTGTTTCTTTTTGCTCGAGGCATTCTGCTGCAAGTCCCTTCTTTTTCTAAACGTTTCAGTGAGTGTCGTTCCATTTGTGTAATTCAATTCAGAGTGATACACATGTCAGTTTTCACTCCCCTTTTATACATCTATATACTGATTGAATTTAAATTGTTGGCAGATATGCACAATACATGTGAATGTCCTTTTTCAATGGCAAAAAGTGACAAGTTTACATTGTGCGCTGCATGAGCAAGGGATGATTATTCTTGGCTTGCAGCTGTATTTTTGTAATTGCAGTTGATAGATTATTTTTGAAATAATAAATATAACACATACAACATTAACGTTGCAATTTTCTTTCATTCTATTGCATAATGTAATGTAATGTAATGTATCTTTTGGTTAAAATAAAAATAAATGCTAAATACTTGTATAATAGTAGGTTATGATGCCTAACAGGCCAGGCAACACAGGCAGCAATGACAATGATACAAAAGCAAAATAAAATATTTGTGATTTACCTATGAAGGGTGTGGATCCAGCCATTGTAATGAGGTAGAGGAGCACCCATCCTAGCTCCGAATGCACCATTCTTCATCAGAAAAATCAAGAGGCAAGAAGACTTGAGAAGAGCAGAGTATTCTGCTTGGGGTTATCTGCAGTAGAATTGATTATATCAGAACTGAGGAAGGCTATTGCACGTAACAACTTTATCGTTAAGCCTTGTGGTTAAACTCTGCACCCATCATTTATTCTACAGAAACTGACAACTGAATGGAAAAAGTGACTTTTATTTGAGGTTAAGAACCCTTTCTCTGTTTGCTCTATAGAGTTGGTTGCCCCAGGTGTATTACTCAGCTCACTGTCATATGCTGCTATCTGGGTAGAAATGGCCTTCAGTAGTTTTCAAAATGCATTCTTAAGGGAGACACTGCAGGTGAATAGGGACAATTAAAAAATTTTGAGATATTAATTTGAAACTTTTCCGTAGTTTACCCACAGAAATGTAACAAAAATGTATTACAAGTTTTTCATCATGGCATGTTTTCATACAAACGTGTTAAATGGCCAAAATTAGGCATTTTTGGAACATCCACAACTGGAACATGAAAAGAACCAGCATTAAATTGCTTCTTTATGTTGATAAATTAGACACTAAAAATATACAAGAGGGGGATTGTGAATATCCCAATGGAGTTAAAATTTAAATAAATCAGGCTTGGAATTAGATATCAAAAATCCTTCTGTGTGTTTTGTAGGTAAGTAAGTACATGAGTGGAAATGTTGGTTTATAATGGTGCTACTTTAAGGCATGATCCTTATGGGTGATATTTTGCCTGTAGTGTCTCTCCTTAATAGAAAAAAAAATAAAATAAAATCACAGACAATAATTTGTCAGAAGCATAGGGGGCATCATATTAGGTTCCACCAGTGTCACATGTCACCAAGCAATACAATTTGAAACAAAGAATTCTAATATAATGAGGATCAGTGATCAAATTCATGTTAATTGTATTTATATATTTTGACAGCAGTTATTATGTAAGTGAAATATGAGTCTTGTACCTTATTAATGTCTGAGATTTGGGGGTTAAAGCTACTATCTGTAAGTTTATTAGATTTTATTTATTTATTTTTTTTTTACCAGTAGATGCAGATGTGAAACCTGTTCCCCCTCCTCCCTCCCCTCACCTGTGTTTGTTCTGAATTGGTCAAATCATATCTCCTAGCTCCTTTACCTTTGGTGCTACATCAGGTGCATTTGAAGAATCTGACCATCTTAAATAACTTGTTCTATGGTGGTGTTTATGTGGTACTTTGTGTTGTGTTGTCCTGTTTTTTGATAAAACATGTTTTCCCCTGCCCTAAGACAAATTTCTCCCATGGGTGACAATAAAGGATTATCTTATCTTACACTACGTGACCCCACAGCTGTTTTATAAAAAACTACCCACAGAAGGGACTACAAAAAGCGCTCCTCATTCTCCTCTACTGCTCTAGTTTTAATTTAACAATGCACATAAATGACACCAGTGTTTGCATATGATGCTTCTGTTGAATAAGAAAGGTCTGCAATAAACCCCACACATGTTTACAGATCAGACTGATCACCGGTACCTTCCTTCATCTATAGAGTATGAGGAACAGGGGAACATGAGTAACCCCACCTTGCTGGTTTAATACTTAATTAAGTTGTGGTTATGGGTAAATGTATTTAATCCTTTTAATTTGTATATTTGTTCAAAAATGCAAATATGAAAGACTGAAACATATGTTAAGGCCTTGTGTGCACTACATACATTTCACAATATGAATCCATGTCACCAAATATTAATATAATATAAAGTATTCAATTTAGTTACCTTTGCACACCTGAGCTGCACAGTCACTGCAGCACTTTCAGTATGAAATGGCTAGGCTACTAAAAGGAACTAAAAAAGTTCCTACAGTATGAGCATCCACAGGACACAGCCTATATCTGCAAAAGATTACCTTAAAAGCATACATGTTTCACACAGTGGTACCTTTAAACATACATAAGATTTCAGTGGTTAAACAACTCAATGTGTAATAGTCAAACAAATATATAAATTCAATGTGTAACATGCACATGTGATGCACTCAAGAAACTTCACCATTTGGTACAGCCTTCAGTATGTATGTATGTATATGTGTGTGTGTGTGTGTGTATATATATATATATATATATATATATATATATATATATATATATATATATATATATATATATATATATATATATATATATATATACACACAGCACAGAGGCACTGACCCTGGGCACTCGAGCAATAGAGGCCCAGATCTACCACACCAGACAAGACCCACGGTGTAGACTGTGCAAAGAGGCTCCTGAGACAGTCCAGCACATAACTGCAGGGTGTAAGATGCTGGCAGGGAAAGCATACATGGAGCAACATAACCAAGTGGCGGGCACAGTGTACAGAAACATCTGTGCAGAGTACGGGCTGGAGACCCCAGGATCAAGGTGGGAAACACCTCCAAAGGTTGTGGAGAATGACCGAGCCAAGATCCTGTGGGACTTCCAGATACAGACTGACAGAATGGTGATGGTGAACCAACCAGACATAGTGGTGGTGGATAAGAAACAGAGCAGAGCCGTGGTGGTTGACATCACAATACCAAGAGATGGTCATATCAGGAAAAATTAACACGAGAAGCTAGAGAAATACCAGGGGCTCAAGGAAGAGCTGGAGAGAGCCTGGAAAGTAAAGGCATCAGTGGTGCCGGTGGTGATCGGAGCACTCGGGGCTGTAACCCCCAAACTGGAAGAGTGGCTTCAACAGATACCGGGAAAAACAATGGACATCTCAGTCCAGAAAAGTGCAGTACTGGGAACAGCAAAGATACTGCGCAGAACTCTCAAGCTCCCAGGCCTCTGGTAGAGGACCCGAGCTGAATGAGGGTGAGAGAGACCTACCACCGTGGAAGGTGAGAAACACATTATATATATATATATATATATATATATATATATATATATATATATATATATATATATATATATATATATATATATATATATATGTATATGTGTATATGTATGTATGTATATATATATGTATATATATATGTATATATGTGTGTGTTAGGATAAAAAACTAGGCTTATGTGGTGTATAACTACTGCTATGATGTTATTGATATACTGCTATATTTTATTATTGTACTATTAGAATTCACTATACAATGACCCAGAAAACAGGGACCAGATTACAGATGAGGGATGCAGAGATAGGTTCAGTTCATCTACAAGATATTCTATTTCTATCTATATGTCTAATCAATTAACTAAATAGGGCAAGGACTTATTGATAGGGATATGCTGACTCACGACTCATCACCCTGGTCAGAGCAGCAAGAGGGGAGTGAGATGAATCTGGGGGATCCTTGTCACAATCGGATAAGATTGTACAATGTGCCAAGAGGCCTGGCTGCACTGCCAAGAGGCACTAAGTCTAAAACCACGGTCGCCTCCCACTGTAGTTTGCGTATAAAAATCATTGTATAGGCGTAAATATTCAGTCTCTGCATGGGAATGTCAGCACAGACTCCTTGTACAAGTATGACTTTGGAATAAGTAAATTATCTGGACTTTATTTCTGTTTCAACTGTATTTTTTTGTCTAAGCAGAAACTAACGAACACGCGGGGAAAAGGCTTATTTGAGTTAAATGTGTGCACCGTTACACTGTTCAGGTATTTCTCAAAACAGTAATTCATGTTTCATGAAGGGCACGTCAAATCCAAAATTGAGCTACCTTCTTTTGGCCAAAAAATAATTAGAGTTTTGTTATCTGAAGTCACCAATGTAAAGCTGCACTGAGTGATGTTTGTTTGTCTGCCATCTGCACTATAAACTGTACATATATATCTGCACATGGCTCTGAGGAGCTCACCACTGTCACCAGTTCTCTGATTGTTCACTTTGTTTGGAAAACTAACAGTATGTAGCCTACTAGAGAAATTGTAGACTGTTTAAATATGTATTTTATTGTGCTATTGTATTTTCTAAATGAGGATAATCAGTGTTGTGTTATAAAAATACAAATGAAGACAATCAGACTTACTATGCATCTACATGATCATAATAACTGAAGGGTTTCTGAAAACTACTTTTACCTTCCCGTCGTGTTCGGGTCAAATCTGACCAATTTACAACTTAAAACACTCATAAATATGTGTTTTACATTTGATTGCCTCAAGGCCTTATAATATCTTCCACATTATGCACTTAAACATATAAAAGTGATGATAAGCTCATTCATTGAATTTTGAGTGTTTTAATCAACCTTGTTGTGGTGTTCCCAGTCAAAAGTGGCTGCCATAGGAAATGAATGGGTATCCAGACTATATTCATCCATCAGACAGAAAACATCCCCATACACACCACCCCAACTCACTCACACACACACACACACACATATTTCAGACTGAACAATGTCTTTTACAGGTACACATCTCTTTCCCGTGCTTATGTGCCTATCCCCCAAGTGAACCACACCTTCCTCACTAATCAATGTATCATCTTCACACAGACTCCATATATAGAGCTTGATGTTTGCCTTGCACTCCTTTTACTCTGAGCACAATGAGTAGACAAATGGCCAAGTGGTTCTGTCGAAGAGGTTCTGGTCCAGGTTTCTGAACATGATGAAGAGGGCATTGAAATTGAACCAGAGATAGAGGAGGATGTCTCGGAAGTAGAAGACAACACAGATTTTGATCCAGACTTTGAGGAGACTGACCAGTCAACAGATGGAGAGGGAGAGGCACCTGAGTAACAGGCACCTGAGGAGACATTCCAGTCCAAGAGTGGACACTTTCTCTGGTCTTCATTCTTCCAGGACAGAGGAAGTAGAGAGAGAGTGGAAAACATCATAAGATGACACCAGGGCCAACACAGTTTGTGACATCTCATGTGAATGACATCAAGTCTTAGCCAGGATGGCACCACCTAGTGACTCCGCTCAATGTTATTTCTCTCCAGAGACTAGGTCGGGAATCAGAATACACCAGCCAATCAGAGAAGAGCCATACATTCTTTGTTGGCAACGATTCCCGAGCTTAATATACCAGTTTGCCCCTTTAGCGGCGCATTACATACGTCATGACTAAATAGCAATGATTGGTTAAATAATAAAAAAAATACCTGCCTACTGTTGAGCAAACGAATCCTAATGCTGCGAGGTCAGATGTTTCCACCAAGTGAAACCGGCTGATGAATCAGGCTAATCAAGTCCAGCTTTACCAGAGTCCACTGAGGGAATTATAACGGAGATGACAAACCTGGAGGTGAAGCGTGTGTTGGGGCCACCTGGAGACACACACACGCACACACGACTTCATGTTGAGTTTGGTTTTTGGTTTTCCATTTATTTTTTTACATTACATGTTCATTATGTTATACATTTTCAGTGCCTATTTGTATTTTCAGTGCAGTTATTTTATGTCTAATTCTATAAATTCATGTTAAACACTACTTTGAGACATTGTTCACACCTAAAGAACGTTGAATAAAAATTTGGTGGCAAAAAATGTTTTTTGTGCTAATTTAAGTGCAGTTAAAACAGCAGGCAATTTTGATTGGGAACATTAAAGTAAGGGATGAGCGGTCAACACGACAGAGGGGTTAAACCAGGGGTGGGCAAACTACGGCCCGGGGGCTGTATGCGGCCCTTTAAACCTTTTAATCCGGCCCGCCGAACTGGAATAAATTATAATAATAAACCTTGTTGATGTTTTATTTGTCATGCATTTCTGGCGTTTCCCAGTAGACGGCACACTATATATACATTGAGGTGCGGTGTATTATGTTGGCCGCAATGCTTTATGGGAAAGTGTTCTTACAGGAGTCATTCGGACCATGAGTGAAGTAGTTTGTGTTCAAGATATATGACTGCACTGTTTCCAGTTTAAGCTGGTAAAAATCAAATCCAGGAACCTCTCAGACTCTATGTTGTAATTATTAATGCATAGAACATCATAGAATGTGGTTTAACTGCACTTGCAGGTGTGTGCGTGTGGATGTATGGTGTGAGCTTTGTTTTCAAGCTGCTTAACAGTCAGATTTGAAAACGGTTAGCAGATGATATTTATTCACCTGTGGTGTGCAGTGGAACAGGTCTTTTATGTGTTTTGAATTTTTCACGGCGTGTAGTGGGCATCAGAAGTCCTACATAAACTTGAATAGGAAGGTAATTAAGCCGAGCTCTTAACATGTTATGTCTTGTCTTCTGTCCGGCCCTTCAGTCAGATTTTAGGACCCTATGTGGCCCGCGAGCCAAAAGGTTTGCCCACCCCTGGGTTAAACACTTACACTTACACTGATGTGCTCCTCATTTTTCTTTTCATCCAAAAAGTCTCTCTCAGTAATCCCATGGAGAAAGGGTTTCAGTTCTGTCAGCTACAAAAAGAAGTTCCATCAAACACAATGCAAGTGTCCATTATAAGGGGCATTTATAAACTGGTTATTATTTTAAGACACAAACATTAAAATGATTAAAATAATTGCCTAATTTACTCTTAAAGGGATAAGAAATACAAAAACATGTAAAAAAAAAATCTAGATTAAAATGGTAGAAATAAAGGATATTTGATTTTCTTTTCTTTGTACCATAAAATGTACCATTCTGAATATTGGTGATTTTAGATTGAAAGGAAAAGGTGGTTCCAAAAGTCGCAACCAAACAAATCACATATCAGCAGAAAGCCCTGGGTGTGCTCTACAAAGTACAATAAGTCTATCTCAAAACACTTTATAGTGAGTTAACCAGACTATCTTTTAAGGACATTAGGGTAAGACTTAGGGTTGGGGCTATGGTTAGTATTACAACCAGGGTTAGATTTAACCTTAGGGGTATTAGGGTTAGTGCGGGATGCGGCGTTTTGCTAGGTACGGCATTCGCAAGTGCGTTTGCCGGACATGTCGTAGACAGCGCAAGGGCCGATCATCGCCGCTTGCGGCTATATTTCTCATTCTTATTTAAAGTTGGGTTTATCCGGGTAATTGTATAATGTTTGAGGCAATGAAACTTTTAACACATTACAAACTCTTGATGCAGATTGGTTGTGTTTGCAAAGTTTCATTCATGTTTTACATTTTATGACTGTATGGTGCCCTTTATATATACTTTATATATAACATTATCTGAGGCACTTTGGGACTCAGTGGGTGCCATCTAGTGGTGTTTTGTGAGAATACAACAGGACTTTTTACACATCTGATAAAAAATAAATAAATAAATGAATAAATAAAGATAACAATAAAAGATTAAGCACTTCCAATTAGAGGCTTGGAAAAGCAAGAAGAGCTTCGTATCTCAAACGAAGCACCTTCTGTAATAGAATGAATGTTCTGTACTCCAGACTGACATAGGATAAACATGTCAATAGAATGCCCATGAGAAAATTCATGGAAAAGTTTCAGATATCAGGAGAATAATTAGGCCTAACTTTAATGGAATACAGTTTTATTTCTGTAATCCTCATTATATGAGGATTCTTTTTCCAAATGTCATTACTGTGTGACTCTCTTACACCTTTTTTTTCTGAGGCTTGTTCTGTAATTTTTTATTTTTTTTTTATACATTTTTGGTAACCTGTAACCAAACAGGGAAAGTGAACAAAAGATCCTGAACTTGTTATGTAATGCTGATGACTAAATAATAGTAAGAAAGGTAACAAAATAATGGGTGGAGACCTATGTGGCAAGTCGATCCAAAACACCGTTTGGTATATGTTCACAAGCATAAGGGACCTTCAGTGAGAAACAGCAGCACATATTTTTTAATCTTTTATTTACCAACACTCATTCTCAGTGGTAACCTGGCCAAACAACAGCACAGCAATAAGCATTAACATGACAAAAATATATTTCAAATACAACATATGTGACCATTACTTTGATACTGACAACATTTACTTCACTTAGTTTTGACTTAATATTAACACAGTTTCACAAAAATAGATTTTCCACCTTAGGTGACAATCCTCCGGGGGTTGAGACAGTAATAGACATATTAAATTCACAATTTCACACCCACTTCAGTCTGATGTGTTAAAATGAACCAAAATTGATAAAAAATATTGTTTATTTGTTTGTTTGTTTGTTTGTTTTGTTTGTTTTACAATGTGGAGAAGGATCAAAGGCTGTTGGTACAACCTTTTAGTGGTTTGAGTTTCCCCTCATTTACTGAGTAACTGGGGCTTTTACAGTAGAAAAATTTTTTTTATGTATGTCTCCATTGTTTCACATAATTGGAGTGATAGAGATCACAAAGCTGTTCTACACTGGGTTCTAAAGTTGTCTGCTGCTGTGGGTAGAATAGGTGCCCTGCAGCTGAGGGGCTGCTGCACTCTTCAAAACCACTGTCTATGGTGTCAAGATCCATCAGTGGGTAGTCACTTCCAGGTAAACCCTCATCAAGATCCTGGAGAACATTCAGGGTGCTCAGATTTAAGTGTGGCATTTCCTTTGGATCACTGTCTACCACAGTTGTCCCACTGCTTGCCTCATGGGGATAATTAGAATTCAACAAGCAGTGGGAAAGTGGGTCTGCACTGCAAACTGTGGATATCGACAATTGACCGAGACTCTGGATTGAGCTGGGGCCTAGAGGAGACTTATACAAAGACAGAGGGGTTGGTTCTAGCTTCACATCCATCACCATATCCATCTTCAGAGAGTTGTGTTCAGTGAATGCAGGCTTCACCCATGCCTGTCACACACAAAAACAACAATACCATCCCTCAGCAATTACTTAAAAATATGAATATATGATTAAAGTTTGTCTTTTTATAATTTTGACACAAAATTACATTAAATGAATCTAGCCATGCTTTATTTATTAAGCTCTTTGAATACAAAAAATGTAACACAAAGTATTTTACAGTCCTTCACCACCTTCCAGCCTTCTAGCTACCCTGCCCCCACCACTGCCTGACTCTACACAATCATACAATTTACAGACAGTCACATGCACACACACATGCTACACTATACCAATACAAATAAATAAGGCTGAGTACAGGCAAACTAGTTGAGGAAGAATCATTAGATGAGCTGTCTGCACTGTGTTTGTTAATGCAAGTCCACTAAGTTGACTTATGACAAATATTAAATTACCTTTCTAAACTTTACATGCTGAAATGACCAAACATGAATTTCATCCATGTTGTTAAATTCTACTCACAACTCACACAACTCTTACAGATCAGGCTGAATATTTAAATATCCAGTTGTGCCTAGCTCTAAATAGTATTACAAAATGCACAATTTAAATCCTTACACAAACTGTTCTCATATGTAGATTAGGTATTCTACACATCAAATGTCACAGTGTCACAGGGGCTTTTTCCGCCTTCTCTGGTGCCCCTGAACTGACTCATGCACATCTGCAGAGTATAAAGGGAAAGTCCCCACAAGCAGTGGCTACTAACATGTTTTTTTTTTTTCTTCGTCTTCTTTACGGGTGCACTCACACTCAAACCAACACCAACAAAACTGTGCCTAAAGGTGGAAAGTTCCACATTTACCAGGCAGTAGTTGAAACCAGCAATAAATATAAAACAGCTGTAAGCAAGAAGAGAAAAGGGATAACTTGACCTAATGAACATAATTGCAAGTGCACACTTAAAGTGGTTGTAACTGATTTTGTTCTGTATAGTTGAGCAAAACTAGTTTTACCCCAGAATTTATAAGCAGCTCTTAAGGACTACTGCAAACTGTTGGTGTGACAGCTAGGTGTGTTTTTCATGTTTTGAATACAGTAAAAATGTGTTGCAACTCTGCTACAGTCTTACCTTAAAATCACCTTGGTAAATGTTGTACAGGGGCTTAAAAAATTCTCTAGGATTTGGGATGAATGTAGATCTCTGAAACCTCTTCTGCCAATACCTACAACAGATATTGGGGATTGGGTTAGATGTTTCAATTAAGTATCATTAGCAGATGAAAAGAAACATCCAGGACATTGTTTTTTGTTTTCTAGACAGACTCATCAGAAAATACCTCATATGTTGCTGTAATTGTTCCTACTGCCATGTAGTTTTAAATTACATAATCACTCATATTCTCATATGTACATTTTTGATTATCTAATATGCTACTTGTTTAAAGGTGTGTGAATACTGTGTTATCATATTGCTAAATAAGTTGTTCTTGTTATTATTATTATTATTATTATTATTATTATTATTACATACTTACATAGCTTTTGGAAACCCCACTGACAGGAGCAAAATTAAGAATGAGACTGGGATGAGCCAATAATAATGATTATTTCCTGAGGAAAAAAAAAGAAGTCATTTAGAAATCCATCCCTTTTACTTTTTTTTTTTTTTTTTTTTAATCCTGGCCCGTGTTGCAGGAGGAAATGTGATATATTAATGAAAAGCGCCAGATGAAGCAGTACCTGCAACTTGATCCGTCCATACTGTGGTGGGACCCCAATCACTCCATGGTCCCTGGTATCGGAAGAAAGGGCACAGCTTGGCCTGTACATCCACTCCATAGTAACCACCTGGAGGCAGCCTCAATTGTTCCAAGTGGACAACAGACTCTTTGCTCTCCAGAATGATCTCCTTCTGTAGCCCTAGCATGGTCCTGATACGGACTTTAAACACCAAACAGTACTCTGGGTTTTTGGTGCTCCAGCTGATGGTATAGGTCCCTTTGGTATTATTCACTTGGATATTGAATGGAGGCCAAGGTTTTACTGCAAGACAACAGAAAAGTGTTAGATTTTATTGACATTACTTTTAGAACATTCATTTTTTTCCACAAGAAATACCTGTCTCTTCACCAACCAAAACAAGTGTCAACTAACCTTGAATGAAGAGCTCCCCATTGTCTAACTGCTTCCTCATCTGAAACATTTATTTATTTATTTATTTATTTATTTATTTATTTATTTATTTATTTATTTGAGACAGGGACAGCACACAGGACTTGACAACAGTACTGCCCTCTTTACACCTGCCATAGGTTAGCTAAAGATCTTTTACACCAAATTTGCCTTGAGATGTCTAGATGTCTTTTTTTCGAGGGGTCCTCATAGTCACAATGACAGAAGACAGATACAGTAGGGCAGACAGTAGGCTACATAAATTCAGGAAAAAAAAAAAAAAAACACTCTGACTCATTGACATGTCCACATCCAAAGTTAGTATACAGAACAACTTGAATCTTCAACAGCTTCCTGCCCACAGCAGTTAGGCTGTTAAATCAGTCTCTGTTTGGACTCTATATTACTTTTGCCAGCTATCAGATGTTGCTTCCTGAGATATAATTAGTCTATCGGACCTGGCAAGTTGCTCAGACTGATCACTGCAAAAGGAATATAATAGAATATACTGGAGCTGAGCAAGAAAAACAACAAATCTGCATGCTGGGTCAGCAAGAGCATTAAATTCAGAAAGCAATTTCAATGGCCTCCTTCTCCTTCATCAACCAAAATTCGAAGTGTTCTTTCTTTCCTTCAAAGAAGGGTGTCCTGTGTGGGTGTGTGAAAGGGTCTGAAGGGTCTGAAGACTGACCATACCTCCTGTCGCCCAATGGTCTCAGGAAGTAACAAGAGCTTCAGGTCTCAGGAAGAAAGAAGAGCTGATACACATGTCAACAAGACAGCAAGACAGGGGCAGTTCTGAAGATGGCTTCCAGCTAGCAGCCTAAACATTTCAAGCTAAATACATGTCACTGATAAAGTTGACTGACTAAAATAAGAAGTTAATTATTTTACAGGTATCTGCTATATGCCACTGCATTGTGCCTGGAATAGGGGCCAGAGGATGTGTTTCTATGGGCATTCATGCTCCTCATTATACCCAAAGAAGTCCAACTTTGAAATATGTATCACCCATCTCTGCACCCATATATATTTATACTTTTGTAAGTTGTGTTGCGAAGAGGCAGTTTATTCATCTGGTTTCATTATCTTGTGTGTACCTCTTCATGCGGCTGGCTAAGTCTTGTAACTTTTGTTTGGCAGTTTTGAGTGCTTCAGGTAGGGCTTCTGGCTTTTTTCATTGCACCTTCCTGAGCCAGTTGATGGGTATTGTTTCTCATGGTTGTGTGGGTTTATTTTCTTGTGTTGATGCTTTACTGTTAATTGAATCATATCAAAATGTTTCTTGTTATGTTTTCTTTTTGTTGCTGCCCCAAATCAAGGTCCAAAGGGGGGCGTATGTGAACCTGGTAGCCTGATCAATATGTCTGCAAAATGTCCTTCAAAACAAGTTTTATCAAATATGTATGTGGACTTTCTTGTTTAAGTGAGCTAATCAATAAGTTAATATTTCAACAAGATGTCATGTATAAGAGCTGTCTATTCTGCTGTCATTGAGAGACGCTGGTGACCGAAATCCTGTAATCATTTGAATTGAGTTCTGTAAGCTGCCTGCGCTAAAATAAAGACATCGTAGACTTTCCTATCTCCTGAAGTTTTTTGCTTAGGAGTTACTTGCGTGTCGCGTCTGGGGAAACTGACAGTTGCTCTTATAGCCCAGCACCTCTAGGATCAGTTCTAAGATTTTTCTGAAACAAGGGGCCACATATTACATTCAGGGCCAAGTACAGGGTATAACCAAGCACACAAATGATTAATTCAGTACGGTGCAAATACAAGCATAGACAGTTTTTAAAAAAAAGCCCTCTACAGATCTGTTTCTTCTCCCATTAAGTTGTATTGACACAATAGGTCTACTGCCGCCAAGAGTTTGGGGGTGGAAATGCATCAGTGTTCTTTTCATCAGATGATTAACAGAACAGGGACACTTCAGCGGTGCTGCTACACCATTATGCATACCATTATGGTCATTATGCTATAATTTGTTTATAATTTATACCTCGATATCCTTTTCTTGCTTTTCTTTTTTTCTTGCTGATCTTTGCTCTTCAGGTAGTATTCTCTGTCTTTGGTTGGATCCTAACACGGTTGTTCCTTTTAGTGTCATGGCTTGTTATCTGGCACCGCATGTTGTGCTCCATATACATGATCGCTGGTCCAGGATAGTTGCAGTACCACTGTCAGAGAACTGCAATATGCGTTCCTGTGATGCGAAAGTGGTATGTTGGAGCTATGGACCTTCATTGCCAATTTAGCTGTAGGATTAGAAGAAACTTCATTTTTAGTTCTAGATGTGACTCTTGGGAGCTGCGGTGTGGGTGCTGGAACCATCGCCTTGCCCTTTTTCTTTTTGTTCATGTGTGATTGGACACGTCCCCTCAACTAAATTATGTGTAAAATTATACATAATTTATATTGTACAACTTATTTAACAATGGAACCTTCCCACTGTGTTATCAAGAACAAACCTGTGTGACCTTTTCAGTCATTATTTTTGAGGAATTTTAACATTGCATCGTTAAAAGTCTTTCAATACGATGCATTGTTATGGTACAGCAATAACAGAATGCATCAGTCCAGTTTACACAATGGAATAACTTATTAAGCTCTTTTACATTTTAACTCTTAACTAACTTGGTTTATGACAGAACCAAAGGCTTCTCAAGGAATTTTTAAAGGAGAAAGTATTATAGTCACAATTTTGTTAGCCTGTACAAAATATTGCAATAAATACCATACTGTGAGATGCATATTGTGGAAATATGGTACAGAGAAATTTGAATATTGTTACATCCCTAGAGCGGAATGGAGGCATTGTCATAACGGTAATCACAGCAAAGAGCCAGCACTTCCTATGTATAGCTGCAGATCACACTAGCCAGCTGTGGGGTTTTCATGCATTTGTACCAAAATGACTATGTGACACTGCCAGATCTTACACATATTATTAGTCAATAATAATAATAATAATAATAATAATAATAATAATAATAATAATAATAATAATAATAATAATAATAATAATTTTGTTAATGAGTAATTGAGTGTAAATGATGTCTCACCTGCATTTCTCAGTTTCCAATCAGAGGAGTTTGTGGTAATCATGGTCTGGTCTTGTGCACGAAGAGCATTGGAACTACACACGGTTTCCACATCTGCAATCTCTTCCATGATGTCAGGGTAGATCACACAGAAAGGCTCCTCTTTGCTCACTGTGCAGTTAACATTTAGTCTGAGATCATCATGTCTGCAAATGCATACAAAAGAAGTTTGGTTGTGCAAATTTCTAATTAATTTCAGTGACTATTACATTAAGCTATTCTTTCATCCATGAAGATACAATACCTGCAGTTTATTTGAAGCAGCAGTGTCTCTGGTGGCTCCAGACCACTGCATGAACAGTTGAGTAAGGTCTCATAGTCTGTAGAGCAGCTCACAGCACATGATTTAACTACAGCAAACACACGTACACAGTAAGAAAAAAATAAATAAATCAGATTTTAAAATGATAAACTGTAGTGCTGATGATGTTGATGATAAGTTATACTTTATTAAATCTATATTGTTTTGCCAACCCACATCTCTTGATTTTTGACATGATTACTAGCTTGATAATAAATACAAATCTATACAGCATCGAAACAGTGTACAGACAGAATTGAAATCGCAATTTGAATAGACACCATTGGCAAAATAGCAAAGCCTGCAACTTCCTCCACAACAATAAAATATCCTGTCTTATTCTGCATTAAAAGTACATGTGATTTCTGTAATAGTCATTTTATGTTTCAGTGTTTTTGTCAATTCTCAGTACAAATGTGAACTTTGAACAGAATATTATCATAAAAACAAAAACACAAAAATCATCAAAACTTGTCAGAAAAATCTCAATGACATATTTTAAAATTGTTCAGCGCTTATAAGGCTGGTCAGAAAGAGTCATGATGATCTATGACAGACAATGTTGTTGTAGAAAGAGGAAGGATTACTTTCAGTACAGGATGTAGAGACTGTGGTAATTTTGTCCATTCAAGTCATATTCTAAGATGATGACATAGGGCAGACAGAACTTGACATGTCAAAAAGCACCAAGCTGGAGGTGTCCTTCATACAGTAGTGCAACATCCCATGACATCCCATGACATTGAGGATTTCACTATTGTATAGTAATGGGAATGGTTAGGGATGGCCCCATATGAAATGTTTTCAGTATAATACCAGAGATTTGTCTTGATGCTGTGCCTGATAACCAATATTAGACAGCCTTTTTTGTTTGTTTGTTTGTTTTCTTTTGTAACACAGATTATTTTAGAGTCACTTTTCATAATGTTGAAAAGGAAAGTAACTTTGAAAACTTACCAGTGTAAATTAAAAGAGACAGTTTGGTTAGCAGCACAATGCCAGGTCTTACAGCCATGGTTAACAACTCAAAGGATTTTTCAAAATATCCCACTGAAAAAAAAAAGAAAGAAAGAAAGAAAAGAAAAACAGAAATAATGCTTTAGTTATGCTAGTAAAATTATTGTACGGGTTCTCAAAGCATTTACCATTCACATCAACAGTACAATATAGATTTCAGTCTGATTTACTATTCAGGTTATGAATACAACTTAAAATACACTATGTTTAACGTGTATATGCATTTAAAAATTTAGCCACTATGAATAAGAAATGAATAAAACCCTTTACCTTGTGTTAGAATGCTTATGTAGACCCAACTCCTATGAACAGTGTCAAAAGTGTGGGCCAACTCAACTCTGCTGCATTGAACTGCAATGACGTCAAAAGCGTGGGTCTGAGGATGTGGTTTAAGTGCCTTTCAGAAATGCGACAGCTGCTTCTCACCATAAGCCACTGTACGCTGTGACACAACATGAGCCAGCGTATTGTAAGCAGGAAGAAAAAAATCTATTGCTCGCTTCGGTTGTGAGCCCAGCTTTGTGCTGCTATAACATTGAGTGAGGTAAGTTAGGCAGCTGGTGAGAATCGATTCTGTTGTTTGCATTTAACTTTCAAGTTACAGCCAACGATAACACTGTCATCATCTACAAGATACCACACACACAGATACCAACAGTAAGAACTACTGCTTTGAAGATTCTAGAACAATATTATGCATAGAATACAATAACACAAAATTATAGTCTTTTATGTTAATTTTTACCATGTGGTCTTATACCGGGTCAGACTCAACTATCCATTTCACAAACACAGTGTCTAGCTGTAGGGTAAACTGTTGCCCCAGCGACTCAACCCCTGATCAATCAACCAGTCAAACTTTATTTATAAAGAAATTTTCATACAAAACATGTAACACTAATTGCATTACAGTGATTAAAAACAATCCCACATTTCCTTCCACCCACTGACCCACCCAGCCCCCACAGCTGCCCTAACCCCACACAACCAAACAGCCCAGACAGTCACACACAATCACACACGCATGCACACACACTCAGACACATACTAACATGCTAGAATACATAAAATTACACATAGTAAAACGTGAGGCTGAATATAGGCGAACCATTTGCGAAAACACCATCAGTAGAGCTGTCTGCACCAGGAGCAGAGAGCCATCTACACCAGGAGCAGAGAGCCATCTACACCAGGAGCAGAGAGCCGTCTACACCAGGAGCAGAGAGCCATTCGTCGCCATCAGGAACAGCCACAAGACCCAGGGGAGAGATGAGGCCCAAGCACTATCCCTCACCCAGGAGCCCATAGGACAGACCCCGGCAGCTGCAACGGACCACCGCTCCTGGTACAGAGGGTTAGAGGAAACAATGGAAATCCTAAAAATGGAATATGAGCTCAAGCTAATAGTATCTCTCTCTCTCTCTCTCTCTCTGTCTGTGTATATATATGTGTGTGTAATATATATATATATATATATATATATATATATATATATATATATATATATATATATATATATATATATATATATATATATATATATCCTGTGATCCTGTGGGACTTCCAGATACAGACTGACAGAATGGTGATGGCGAACCAACCAGACATAGTGGTGGTGGATAAGAAACAGAGCAGAGCCGTGGTGGTTGACATCGCAATACCAAGCGATGGTAATATCAGGAAAAAGGAACACGAGAAGCTAGAGAAATACCAGGGGCTCAAGGAAGAGCTGGAGAGAGCCTGGAAAGTAAAGGCATCAGTGGTGCCTGTGGTGATCGGAGCACTCGGGGCTGTAAACCCCCAAACTGGAAGAGTGGCTACAACAGATACCGGGAAAAACAATGGACATCTCAGTCCAGAAAAGTGCAGTACTGGGAACAGCAAAGATACTGCGCAGAACTCTCAAGCTCCCAGGCCTCTGGTAGAGGACCCAAGCTGAATGAGGGTGAGAGAGACCTACCACCGTGGAAGGTGAGAAACACATTTTTTTTATTTTTTATATATATTTAGAGAGAGAGAGAGAGAGAGAGAGAGAGAGAGAGAGAGAGAGAGAGATACATATACATATACATATACACATATACACATATATATATATACACAGACAGAGAGAGGGGGGGGGGGGGCAATGAGCTAACCAGTGTGGGTCCTTGGGCAAGACCCTTCGTGCTACTGCCCACCTCATACAATGATGAGAGAGAAAGAAACGTATGACATGCCGGCTCAGACGTCGCCCGGCCAAACAAGGTCTGCATCAGGTGCTGGGGAACCAGGGAACCTTGATGAAAAATGGGCTACTGGAACACAGAGGAAATGGGCGAGATGCGAGAACAAGGCTCTGTTGGAATGCTGCTACTACAGTAACCCTAGGCAGAGGGGGTTACATGAACAGGATGTGGGAGAAATGGTTATTACGATACCCACAGTCCAAGCTAACGGCCAAACAACTAGTAGCTCAGTGTTCCAACATCCACAAACGGCAACTGCTATCACAACTAGAGATTGATGAGGTATAACACAAATGCCACGGCAAGGGGGAACCAGTGTGCCAGGTCAGAGGGGAGTTGACACCAACTCCCCAACCAGAGATTGGCTACGAAGCCCCAATAAGTATCACGCTGAGCGAGGCAGCGACTGACCTGAAAGATAAGATCATGGCCCGAATTAACACAAGGCAACCCCGATGCCAGTTACAGAGGCTAAGTGAAGTACCATCTGAAAGTCTCCTAGATGATGTGAATGCAGAGATAACGAGGCCAGACGAATAAACCGGCTGTTCGCAACACAACTGGCGAAAGTGTACGCTCATTGGCAGGGTAATAACACCAGAGCAGACCCACCAAGGCTGGAGACTGGAAAGGCATATGGGAGAGGGAGGCATCACATAACACCGATGCACAGTGGCTGGTGGATCTGAGAGAAGACCACAGAAACCTCCCTGAACAGAATCCAGTCACCATCACAGTGGCAGACATCCAGGGGAAGAGTCTCAGGTATGAAAAACTGGACCGCACTGGGCCCTGACATGATCCATGTGTACTGGCTAAAGAAGCTCACTGCCCTCCACGAGCGCCTGGCAGCACAAATGAACCAGCTGCTAAGGGATGGGACTCACCCTGAATGGTTAACCCAAGGGCGTATGATCCTGATCCTAAAGGATCCCTCAAAGGGTGCAGTCCCATCCAACTATCGGCCAATAACCTGTCTCTCCACAACATGGAAGCTCATGTCAGGCATCATTGCGGCTAAGATAAGTGGGCACATGAATCAATACATGAGCGCAGCACAGAAGGGTATCGGCAAAAACACCAGGGGAGCCAAACACCAACTCCTGGTTGACCGAACAGTCGCCCGCGACTGCAGAACCCGTAAGACCAACCTGTGCACTGCCTGGATTGATTACAAGAAAGCCTATGACTCAGTGCCACACACATGGATCACTGAGTGCTTGAAGCTGTACAATATCAACAGGACTCTAAGGGCGTTCATTGCGAACTCGATGCGGTTGTGGAAAACCACCCTTGAAGCCAATGGGAAGCCACTTGCACATGTGTCCATCAAATGTGGCATATACCAAGGAGACTCACTGTCCCCACTACTGTTCTGCATAGGCCTGAACCCCCTCAGCCAAATAATCGACCGCACTGGCTATGGATACCGACTCAGAAACGGGGCCACCATCAGTCACCTCCTCTACATGGATGACATCAAGCTGTACGCTAAGAGTGAGCGAGACATCGACTCACTGATCCACACCACAAGGATCTACAGTACAGACATTGGGATGTCATTCTGGCTTGAGAAATGTAGCAGGATGGTGACAAAGAGAGGGAAGGTAGTCCACACAGAGGGGGTGTCACTCCCAGAGGGAACAATAGCAGACATTGAGGACAGTTACAAGCACCTTGGTATCCCACAAGCAAATGGCAACCTTGAAGAGGCAACAAGGAAAGCGGCTACGGCCAAATACCTGCAAAGAGTGAGGCAAGTCCTTAGAAGCCAGCTCAATGGCAAGAACAAGGTGCAGGCAATCAACAGCTACGCCCTTCCAGTGATCAGATACCCTGCAGGGATTGTAAGCTGGCCAAAGGAGGAGATACAGACCACAGATGTTAAGACATGAAAGCTCCTGACCATGCATGGAGGGTTCCATCCCAAATCCAGCACCCTGAGACTGTACGCAGGCCGGAAGGAAGGAGGCCGAGGACTAGTGAGTGTGGGAACCACTGTCCAGGATGAAACATCCAAGCTCCTTGAGTACATCAAGGACAAGGCCCCGGCAGATGAGGTGCTCAGAGAATGTCTCAAACAGTGGGGTCCAGAGGAAGAGGTGCTGGAGGGACCATCATGGCAGGACAAACCCCTACATGGGGCGTACCACCGGAACATAACTGAAGTGGCTGATATCAAGAAATCCTACCAATGGCTTGAGAGGGCTGGTCTGAAAGGACAGCACAGAGGCACTGATCCTGGCTGCTCAGGAGCAGGCCCTGGGCACTCGAGCAATAGAGGCCCAGATCTACCACACCAGACAAGACCCACGGTGTAGACTGTGCAAAGAGGCTCCTGAGACAGTCCAGCACATAACTGCAGGTGTAAGATGCTGGCAGGGAAAGCATACATGGAGCGACATAACCAAGTGGCGGGCATAGTGTACAGAAACATCTGTGCAGAGTACAGGCTGGAGACCCCAGGATCAAGGTGGGAAACACCTCCAAAGGTTGTGGAGAATGACCGAGTCAAGATCCTGTGGGACTTCCAGATACAGACTGACAGGATGGTG